ACAGCGTTCAAGTGCACCAAAGGCAGACGACTGAACTTTAACGATCCAAAGCTATTAGAAAATCTGTCCGATATATCCGAAGATGAGAGCGATTACGACGATGAATCGGTGCCAAAACAAGGTGGCATCAGTTTATATAGTCTTGGACAAATATTTCGTGAGTGGAGATTTTTTGGATTTGATCAACCGAAAAATGGCAGAAAAACTGCGAAGGAGGAAGAAGAGCAGCAGTTCGATGAGACAAAAGATTATATCGAGTTTTTATCAAGGTTAAGTGCTGAGGAAATGAATATGAAGTTAATGTAAATTTGCCATTTAAAATAGCATTGACATTGCAAATTAGTGAGTAGTTTTTATAGGAAGTTTAGCCTTGTAGTTTATTTAAACAACTCAAATTTTAGTTTTTATATGTAAATTTTTGACGATTTGTGCTTCAATTAATACTTGCTAATATCTGTAAAATTATGCTTAAATTAAATAGTAAGAAAGAAAAAGGATTAATAATGTCAAAATTGTATATACTTTTACGATCTAAAATAATTGTAATATACTTGGAATGTATTCGGCAATATAAGGTTATTAAGAAAGAGGGATTAATGATTATTAATAAAAAGATGAAAAGAAAATTTATATAGTAGTTTTATATTTATTATAATATATATTGATTAACAAGCAAAAATGAGGCTGTTTGTGAAATTTAGGTTAATGAACCCGTGAACAGATTCTCCCCCCCATTTTTCAGGGTTTATGTTAAGTCTCTGGACATGCTTATGGACGCGCTTCGCACATTGCTGATAACATTTAAAAAGTTTAATTATTTAAGTGTTAAGGATTGGTCAATATTCGCAAGTAGAAGCTGTACCTGGTAGACGACCAACTTCTGTATGACAGCTAGATCCTTTAGGTCTAAAGTAGAAAGTAGGAGATCTACTGAACTACTTGCCTCTAGAAAAGTTCATCTTACCGCAATTGTAGGAGTTCTTACTGGGCATCCAATGGTCATTCACGTGGTAAGGTTAAAAAGCTTGGAAGGTTAGATGAAAACCTGCAGGCGTTTTCTCCTAAATTATCTAGTTGAGGTTAAATCCTCTTGGCAGTCATATCTTCGGCGAAAAAGGAGACATAGCCCGGGACCGGCGTTATAACCTGTGCAAGTGAGATCCCTATTAGAATCGATCATTTAATCTAACACAACCTAACCTAAGTTTAACAAGCAATTAAAAACAGTTCCGGGTAAATATTTTCATTTATTTCGAGAGCTTTTAAGAAGGCACGACCCGATATAATACCGATATTTCCGCAATGCAAAGAGGTTCATTTATGGTACTTCAGGAAATAGTTTCGAAAACAGAAAAAAAGAGAAAACATTAATTTCGACTGCATCCAAGCTACTATATACCCTTCACAGGTACATTTCCTTTAGCAAATATCCTAAACTATTGTAGAGCATTCAATTTCCTACAAAATCTATGAAACAAGATATTTTTTCAAGTTGTTGGAAGTGAGATATGAATGTTTCTAACTGATAATAAAAAACAAAATAAAAGACCGTTAGGAGGAGGACCTTCTTGTTACACTTAAGAGCTCATACTTGGAAAGTCTTGCTTAGAGGTGTCTATAAACCAATTTTTCAGAGTACGAAGCTAAACATTCGTTTTTATTTTATCCACCCTAATAAATATACATATATATATACTTGATAAGATTTCCGTTGTTTCTTTCTGGGTATTAGAGACTTCATGGCAAACTCATATATGCCCACTTTATATACAAAAACAAAATTAAAAGAAGTAATTTTTTGTAGGGAAAATTGCATGGATTCAGCAAGAAAGCGATGAAAATGCAATGCTAGTTGAAGTGAAAAAATATATTAAAAGAAAATTGTTTGAAAGTTGAGAAAAGTTGCAGTCAAAAAGTTTCGGTACGAAGGTAAGCCGAAAGCGAAGGGCATCAGAGCGATAAAAGAGAAGTAAATAAGCTTGGCAAGTGGCTTTGATAGAAGCAGCTGATTGACGACAGAACTCAAAGGTAGTAGCAAAAGGAAGCATGGAGAATTAATAGCCATTTGTATGGAGGAAAAAGGCAAGCTAACGTAAAACTATGCCGAAATGCATGCTGATATATATTTTAAATCTTGTACATGCGATGAGCGCAGACAAAAAAATGTCCGACAACTTGACTATTAAGACTGCAGCAGCCAGCTGTGACTCAGAGTCAGCGTATGCAAAGCGAGTTAAGCAGCCAAAGGAAGCTGTAACTATAGTAAATGCATTTACATATATACAACTAATGCTTATATTTCTATGTAGGTATATATATGCAGGATATATGTGTATGCAAATGTGTAAAAATGCAGCAAAGGTGTGCACGCACCCGTTTGAGGCAAGTCGCATGAAAATGTAAACATGCTTTCCAAAGGATTACGCTTAACTACGCATCACTGGAGAAATATACGAGTACAGTTAACATAATGCGATGTGTGGACAGCTGTACAAAGGTAGGCAAATGCAACGTGTAGTTCAATTGCGTTGAAACATAAATAGAGATGAACTCACGGCCTGCCGCAATTTGCTGTAAATTTAATGCAAGCTTTTGTGTGTTGCCTCACAAGCGAATTATATACATATACTTGTACATATATACATACTCATGTTGTTGGTTACCGCTTTGTAACCTGTGATAATGAGCAGCTTTGTTTATTTACTCCAATTTACCAGCGCTCACACATTTACTCTGCTTAACAAGCACACAGTCACGCCACATTTTATATAGACGCACTTGCTGCAATGCCAACATTTAGTAGGTCAGTATTTGTGCGGCATTCAAGCGCTTAACGCTGTAGGCGTTGCTCAAAAATTTGTTTAACACATAAGCGCGGTGGCAAGAAATGCAAATGCAACGAAAAAAGTGGGTTAAAATTCAAAAGCGAAAATGTGCTGCAATGAATTTTAAATAATCAAAGTCAAATAAGGCGACTATTGCAGAGTAGGCGTGGTGTTTAATAAACGCTGGTAAATATAGCTATATATAGCACATATTTGCTTCAGGCATGGCTTGCGAAAAGTTTCCAGCTTTTGACGCATTTCGCAAGAAGAAGAAAAAGACTAGCTTAATAATGACTGCATTCTAACAGCCGCTGCGTTTTACAAAAATGCGGGTTGCGTATACGCCATATACTGCTAGCGAATTTTTCATCGAAGCAGACGATATTCAGTGAAAAATTGCGGATGTTTGCAAAAGCCTAGCGCAATATATCTACAGCCCACATATATTTGTCGCATGACACTTAATATGCAAACACACAGTCAGTCATAGCTGTTCTGTATGTGAACGCCAGTGGGTCAGTGCCATGGGCGACTGACTGACATTGAGAATTTGAGATTGTTTTACGCACATTCGAGAGAAATGATGATTTATTTATTCGAAATGATAGTTACAGCACCAACGTAGCTAGACTTATAAATCTTACTTATAAATAGTTGGTTTTAAAGTCGTTTTTCAAAAGTAAGTGAGGATGTTGTGGTGAACTTTCTGATACAACGGTTTTGGGATTAACGTGATTTTAAAAATCTTCAGAGTCTATAGAATAATATGTGAATGATATATGTTCGAAGAATGTTAAAATATTTTGAATAAAGTGATTTTTATTTACTTTCTCTCTAACGAATACTTGAAGTGACAACTATAGCTGTAACTTTTCAAAAGTAGGTCCAGATCTTTGGAATTGAATACCTTTTTGAGGTTCGTGTAGATTTTCTGAATCTATAGGATAATTTTTAAAGGATATTAAGACACTTTCTGTAACTAAGCGGAGTGTTAATTACTTAACCACTATTTTCTTCTACATTTTATCTATATTTTCAATTAAAATCGTTTTTCATTAATACTATTTGATGAAATATATAAAGATTACTACTACTACTTAAAATAATGTAGGCTTTTTCTATGGAGTAAATGTGTGAAATGAGAGCCTAAATACTGCAACAACGCCATGGGTTATTTACTATAAATCTAAATTAATTTTAGTAGGTTTCAAGACAAGCAGACAAAATTGGCCCTATATTCTCTAGCGAATATTGTATTTAATTTAAAAGAGGAGTCATGATTTTAAAAATGATCCTACTTGTAGTCAAACTTCCTGTTACTTCTTTACGGTTTTTTACTAATTTTAATGCAATATTTTTAAAGCGAAGCTGCGAATTTGCTGTTGAACAGATTTCATTCAGTCAAATTAAACTTGAGGGACACACCTATTGTAAAAGCCCGAAAACACAGGCGATTTTTAGTAATTTAAAAAAAACTGTAATGTACAGCCTTATGAACCATCATTATTATAACCCTATCATAAAAATTTTGGGTACAACACTGCCTACACAAACACTTGCATCAACCAATTTGTAAGCGGCATGCGAATTTTTTCGCCGTTACAACCGTGTAAAAGCGTTGCACATTGGCACTGTAATTCGGCAGTGCTTTGCAGTCAGTTTATTTACATGCAAATAAATTTCTGGGTCAAATATACGAACACATTGCAATATATACATATGTGATTTAAAAATGCATACACATATATGAAAGCGAATGTATGTATATACACAAATTGGTTTGTGTGTTGCAAGTACATATTCAACAATGTGTAATTGCATGTAGCAGCATCTTTGGCACATATAAATCTCACTGCCACTGAACTGCGACACTAAAATAATGCTTTCGTAAGTATATACGTGAACTCAACACATACATATGTACTCATATGTAAGTTGCATGCCTGCAAGCTTTCAAGTTTATATGCACTTTGCATATCTGAATCCGCATACCGCGCAGGTAGTCGCGTGTCATTAAATCATGTTGACTCACGCTCATGGACCGACGGTGTATTAAAGTGTTTGCAAGATTGGCGCTGTGCGGAAACTATCACTTACTAGTTTACTTTCACTCTAACGTATATATATATATATAGATATATATATATACATATGCAGATACGGGTATGAACTTACCAGTAATGCGTGAAGGTGTGTATTTCATGAATTCAAATAGAAATATTCCACGGTAGTACTTGAGTACTCTCTAGTGTGCTAAGTGCAATAAAATCGCTTTGTGTTTCGTGTTGTTATCTGGAAAAGAAATTAGTGTAAGATAATTAATATTTTTTGTTTACAAAAACAATAGCGATAAAATTTACTAAGGTCTAGTAAAAGAAAAACTTTATTCTTGCATTAAATTTTAAGTTTTATTGAGCAAAGTTGGTATGATCCGACTTAAGGGGTTACATGGGTTTCGTCGATCCTCCTATTTTCAATAATTTTTTTTTCATATAAAAACTGAAATATTTTATTCAAACTTTTCATTATTTCGAAGATACATATTTGATAAAGATTTTGGAATATTTTCAAAGTAAAATATTCAAAACTCGATCTTTGCGACGTAATTTCCGGCAGTCTCTTGGAAAAAAGTGCTACCGCGTTGACAGCAGAACTTTAGACAGGTTTATCAAAAGTAAAAAGAAAAAAATACGTGTTTGAACTAAGGTATTGGGATGAGAAAAAACAAATAAAGTGAAAGTGTTATTTTTGACAGACGTTTAAAAAAAAAAAGGCAAATTTTGGTGAAAATTTATCGACGTTTTTTTGTTTTTAATAATTATATTAGAAAGAAGATAATCATAAAGGATATCTTGAAGACCTGTGTAAAATTTCATTAAGATCGGTTGAGTAGTTTGCGAGAAATCTTGACAACCGACTTTGAAAACACAGTTTCAAGAAAAACGCGTTTAAAGTTTTCAGTGACTATATAGCTGACCTCGAGCGCGCAACTTTTTAAAGTTGTATCTCCAAAACTATTACTGGGATTAACTTGAGAATTTAGGGAAATATTTTAGAGATGTTATAAAATAAAAAGACAATAAATTGTATTTTGTTTTTAGAAGCCGTGAAATCCATGTAACCTTAGGAGGTTACAAGGCAAATATGCAGCGTTTTGTTGGATACTTGTTGACACTTTTAAGGTAATGTTTAGGATGCTACTCTCGTAGAAACCCTAGGTCAAACTTGGGTGGTAAGATTCAAGTTGGTTATCATCGTAATCTTCTAAGGGAGGCCTCAGAAACTTGGAGGGACTCGGTGATATGTTGATGGTTCCACTGTAAAAGGCGGTGTCTAAGGTTTGTTGCGTCCATAGTCTGTTCGGCAAAGTTTTCTTTGTCGTATTGCCTATGTAATCAAGAAAAGACTTGTTGATTCTTCTAGGAGGTGGCTTCACTTCAAGCAGGCGACTGCAAAGCTGGTTTATGTGAAAATATCCCAGCCGAAACTGCTTGAAGAGCCTGGGGGCCTCCCTATGTAAGTGCTCTATAGGAAATATCAAGATGCATACTGTAATTGTACGGAGTTCAGTATTTTGACACGTCTGAACTTTCTCCGTCTGCGATTTAGTAAATCCAGGTGACCATATCAGTGCAGTATAGTTTATGACCGACCGGCCGATTGCCTTGTATGTTGTCAACAACGTTTTTTTGTCCTTTCCCCAGGTCCTGCCGGCTAGCGACTTGAGAATTATGTTGTGGCTATGTATTTTGGCAATAATCGCGATCGTATGCATAGTGAATGTGTGAATTAAGATCCAGTCTTCGGTACTGCTTCTTTCAATTTGTGAATATAGTCGGTGTGGATTTAATGGGAGAGAGTGTTAGGCTTCTTGGAAAGAAAAAGCATGAAAAATTGGAGATCTAGCTATTTAATTTCGAACACATGCCGTCGAATCCATTGCCTGACGTCAATAGTGTACAATCAGCAGTGTATGAAGTGTAGACAATTCTCTCTGCTTGTTGAGGAAGTTTCGAAATATATAAGTTTAACTATAGCGGGGAGAGAACACCACTCACGACAACAGGAATTGCCGAGGATTTTATCCGGCCTAGGGCTGTTATTTCGGCGATCTAACCGTGTTTGGATCGGTAAGTTTCAGGTTTTTTAATGCAGAAACTCTTATCTCTTTTGGAAAAAAACTGTGCCAAGCTTCTCTCGAGGCGACTTTTTCACCAGAAAAATCATTTGTCATTGGCAGGAACAGTAATAATGCTTGATGACAGCTCTAGATTATAAGGTGGATGCATGAGAACCTTCCAAAGAAGCTATCGGAGCTTCTTGCGAATCAATATAGATTTGTGCGGCCTGGCGTTGTTTTGAACACAATATCTCTCCTATTGGCTAAAACTAACCACTTCTGATTGATTGCTTTATTCAAACGGTCCAATTGATGACAGTAGAGGTTCAAATTAAGGGCATGTACTTAGGGGAGTAGCTCATAGTAGATGATTCCCTGACAAACCTACCAAACACATAGCATACCCTTTCTGAACATCAACCCTGGCTTAGCCACCGTTTGCGCTGGCTCACCGCGATTCGATAAATTCCGTTTTAGCATAACGTTCCATCACTAAGTATACGCCTCAGAAATAGATGAACAGCGATTCGCAGATAGGAATTCGATCCAAAAGTTTTTTTTTGTTTTTGCCTTAGCTCATGAGGAGCCCATACATCGAGCTTCCTTTAGTATACAACCTTATTTCAAAGATTTCCAAGGGGTTTTTGTGCAATGTTTAGTTACTGGGTAATAGTGCTTATTAATGGTCGATCTCGAAGACTTCCATTATATTGTCGAAATCGAAATTGCGTTTGATTGGCAGCTACAGTATCAGGGCAATAAACTTTGTTAACATTTTAGCCGCCTGGCATTCGTTTTCGCCTTTATCGCAAAAAAAATTTGGCGTATTGTCTCTGAGCTCATGTTCATTTTGGAGGCGTGCTAAAACAATACTGAGTCAAGAAATTACAAAATTGTCTGAGCATTTCTCCAAGTACGAAATCTTATATTTTCAATGCGATATAGCGTAAATCGATCGCACTAACGGTTTTTCTCAATGGCACTATTTGCTATCTATCTCTTCTGAGCACCACAAACAATTTAGAAATATAACAATCATACTCACAGAGAAAATACCACACTTAACCTTTTCAAGCTGAGGTGTTACCTTAACCTCGACATTGACTATGCGCCTAAATGCGCGCTTTAAGAAATTCTATTTGACGCCGTAGATTGTCTCTTGTTCCGCCACTTGTGTCCGCAACACAATGACAGACCTTGCGCGTTCACGCTCGTCTAAGCGGCGATGACGGCGTTCACAATGACAGCGTGAACGTCGAGCATTTGGCCCTCTCCCAGGAGCCCTCGAAAGCATCTTAAATGCCGAGTACTTTGGCTGTTGCCATTGGCAACTAACAAAAACGTAAACAAGTAGACGAAAATAAAATGGTGAAATAAAATGTAGAATCATTGGCGACGACGAAAGGAAGTAAGAAGACAATGGAAAAGAATCTGAAGTGCAGCTGTTGGCAACACAAACGACAACAACACCCACACATATGCACCCACACACACACACATACGCATTTGGCACAGTTTGTCACATGAATGCGAAAACAAACATATGTGAGTGCAACGGAGCAGCGCAACGAGCAGTTTAACGTATTTGTGTGTGCGTACGTGTGCTGAATGGAGGATAATGCGTTTTTAAATATGTTTTTAGGTAACGGCTGCTGTGTTTGTTCATCTATATGTGCGGCAGTTGCATTAGCCAAATTGAAGTGCATCGACAAATTGTTTACAGTTAAAGCTTATGGAAACAAGTAGAAGAAGTCAAAGTACTGGAAGCACTAATAGCGAAATGAAGATAGAGGTTGCGTGAAATCAATTTGATTGTGAATGTAACAACGGCGAAGGCGAAGGTGACGACAGTAACAACAACAAAGTGATAATGATTAAAACGAGATTTCGAAGTTGCTCTTAGAATCGTGTGTGCATGGTCTGGTGAGATTTTTACGGGATTTTTCTTAACAAATATAAAAATGTAGGTGCACATGCAGGGAAAGTCACTATATTGAAATTAGTTTATTCTTTAATTGAATAAATAATATCTTATACAAAAGGACTAAATCTTACTCTTGAATCTTTTAGCTTTTAACATGGGTTACAATCTAATAATATGCATTTAAATCTGTGCTTCATCACTTTGTCTTTGCTCTGCTTTTGACTTCAGAAATTCCTTGTAAGGAACATGATGAGGCTTTTAGTCATCTTATACAAATTTTATCAGATTAATCTATTTAAAGCTAAAACCGGCTTATGATTTTGGGCTATTGAAGCCAGACTCGAAATCACCATCGGCATGGTATTATATTCGACCTTGTTAATGTACTCGGGCTAATAATTCATGAGAAATAAAACACAACCTTTTTTATTGCCAGTGAAATAAAATAAAAAATTGGTTCTATGATCGACGGTTCCAACAGCGAAATCTACGTATTCTCCGACGGATGAAAGGGGAACATAGGGTCTCAATAAGTAACTCGGTTAATACCATCTAGTTACCCAGTCATATGGGGATAGGAGGAAATGAAAAGTTAACGAGTTCGCCCGCTCGGGGGCAATTTTCCTAAGCAGCCAATGGACCAGACCATTCAGCTCCTGCAAGGGTTGTTTGAAGCAATGCTCCAACTTAAGATACATTGGGCAGAGTTCAGAGTTCAGAAAATTCACTGAGTCGCTGGATATGGCCCTTGCACCTCCCTTTTCAACTAAGCAACCAACCAATCTAATTAAAAAAAAAAAATTAAAATTAGTACGATTACCAGAAATACTTTTACTTTAATATTAAGGTGACTAATTTTTAGACGAAAATGAGCTGCTAAAATCCTGTTTCAGCTTTTTACGACTAGATTTATATTACTTTCTAAGCACATAAACCCAGGCTTACATACGTCCATTACATTATTTAAAAATTATTTATATACACATATGGCTCATTCAAATATACATTTACAAACTACCTTACTAAATTATCAGCTTGAACTAAATAAATATTAAACTTAATTCCATATTTTTTTATTTCTTTCAGATCTTCAGGCAACGCAGCAGTTAAAATGTCAAAACAATTATGACAAACGCTACATAAAAACTATACAACCTACAACTTCCCCTAGTCTATATATTCCCTAATTGAATATTTCACAATAAAATACTCGACCCCAAGAAACATCGAAAGTTTTTAAAAAGAATAACACCAAATAATAAAGAGAAAAAAAACAAATAGAAAAAGAAAAATTATTTGAAGAAAATAATAATTTTTGAAAAATAAAAAATAAATATAGCTGCTATCTAGTTTCCAAAAATTCTAGTCTAAAAGAAATAGAAATCCAGACACTTCAAAAAGTCGAAAAATTTGTGTTGTGAATACAAAGCGTTAACTGTAGCGTCGCCGCCATGGGTAAAAAGAGTTCCAAATTGAAGCAAGACACCATCGATCGTCTGACGACTGACACATATTGTAAGTATTAACAAAATTATTTACAACAGTACAAAATACCTTCAATATTTGTTGAAAAATTCATTTATTGAACAAAAATTAATAGATTTATCTATAAAAAGGTTATATAGGCTGTAAATAAATAACCTTTTCCCCTTTCACATTTCAATTGTATGAGGTTGACTATGAGCCACTGCAATGGCAGGTAGCCTTGATTTAACCACCACTTAATGCAAATGTCAAATGTCTCCCCTGTCAGTGTTAATTATAGCTGATTTAATTGTAATTTTCCAGCAGGTGGACATAACGGCTGTGTAATTAAATAAATGTGCAGCAGAAGCTGAACTTTTTGCTTTGCTGCTTTGAGTTTGTGTTTGTATTTGTGTATGTGTGGGCGGCTTTTTGTTTCACTTACCGAAATGATAAATATTTTTGCAATTGCAAGATAACATTTGGTTTATTTAAAGTGAATTCATGTGATCAAATTATGTAATTATTGCGCCATAAAAACCTGTTATCAAATTGTATGAAAAAAATAAATTGAAATATATATAAATAAATTGAAAGTAACTTTTGGAAGTGAAAAGTATTTATAAACAGTATTACAAATAGTGCTTTAGATTGCAATTTAATTGCTGGCAGCTGGATGAATATGTCAATAAAATATTTAAATAATATGCGTTTTGTTTTGTATTATTTTACTGATTAAAGACTCTATTCAAATATAAAGACTAAAGAAAAATAAGTTACAGAAAAACTGTTCTATAAGGAAATCATGTATCATATAATTTTCGCCGCTAAGAATAAGTTCAGTATTGAAGTCCTGCCTGAAAAAGTTAGTGAAAGTGCAACTCGTTACTAAACTAATGTTTCACGGCCAGTAGGTATGATTATTTGCTTATTTACATAATAATACAATTTGATAATCGATAAAAAATCGATAACACAATTTTATCGATAAAATATCGATTACAAAATTAATCTTTGATTATAAAATGAGATTAAAGAAAAAATGAGTAGGTAATTAAGAACTCCAAGCATTTTCTGACGCTTTAAAATTGTTTAATTCATAAAAATGCTATTATAGCTTGTTTTTCCAAATACATGAATATACATTTGTATATCGATGTAAGTTTTTGTCACAATAAGGGAAAAAGCGTAGAAAATAACTTAAATATACGTCTGAAATATTAAAGTGATACCATTTTTTTTAAGTTTATCGATTTTTTTAAATTTTATCGATAAACACGAATTCCGCTATAAGCCGTTTGCAATAATAATAATGTCCGTTTACTATAAAAAGCACGCAAACCCACCCACATTGTGAAAAACAGGAAAAAATATGTTTATTACAAAACTCTATAATAATGGTTTCAATGCCGATAAGTTTTTAAAATATAGGTACTTTTGAAAGTCTTGCGCTTACAAGTAACGTATAGTAAAAAATATTGAATGCCTCATTTCGGCTACAACTGATTAAATTATATAATTTTCGAAAATATTTTATGTAATAGCAATAGTCGATTTTAAATAAAATAAAGATATCGACTAATTTTCTCCAATATAAAGTTAATTTTTCTATATTTCTTAAAGCTGTGTCAGAAACAGTAGAAAAAAATCTTAATGTCAAAAATTAAATCGAGAATAAGTTATCGATTAGGAAGGTAGATTTTTGAAATAAGAGTTAAATTTTTAATAATATAAAAACAAATTTTGATATGAAAGTAATATATAAAGCGGCGCATAGTTTTTGGAATTAAAATTGATTTAAATTCTAATCGCTGAAAATTCATTTTGAATTCATATATCTTTTTAAAAACATTGATATTTGAAGTTAGCAGCATAAACTTTGAAATTATTTTGAAAATGGTTGTTCTAATAATGCAATAAAAATTATTATTTTGAAGCATCTTATGATATACTCGTTTCAGATTTTTATCCTTAAATTTTTTAAGTTTGGCATTCCAAAAATTCATATAAAATACTCATTATGACTTTTACAATTTAAATTTCATATTATAATATATTATATACAAAAACATCTCATAAATATCCAATTTACTTTTATTCCACAACCAACCGTACATTGAAATGCAATTAATGTCCTAGGGGATTTTTCGTACGCGCCATTAAGCCTTGCTGCAGGCTGCAAAATGGTAGCACATTTCCGCAATCAATGGTGTGTGAAAAAATTAGTGCAATATAATTTATCAACGTGAAACGGCGAATCGATAAAATTCGCTTGCGCCTAAAAGTATGTCACAACTATTCGGACAATGCTTAAATATGTGTGTGTGTGTATGTATTTCGTAGAAGCTCCCAAAATACGGACGCGCCGCCACAGCATTTTTCCCCTTCACTTACAAGTGCCATGTAGTTTGCAAATAATTTTCAATGCCTTGTCAAAATGCCCTTGAACGCGGCGGCGGCGATGTTCAAAAATTGTTGATTTTCCTTTTCAATGTCATGCAAATATGCATGTAAGTGCGCAGTCATAAGTGCTTATGCAAATGCACAATGTCGGCCCAAGTGCATCATAGTGGCATGCACACATTGGCACGTGGCAACGCGTTGTGCGCGTGTGTGCGTATGTGTATTTGGCCACTCATAATCGGCAAGTTCACTAAGAGGGCACGTTTCTTTGTTAGAATTACTTACTATATTCAAAAAATATGCTCGATATTATATGTAAGAAGCTGCTTAAGTATGTGTTTCAACTAACTAAATTTTATATGCGAACGTCTACACGTATGTACGAGTATGTGTATACTTATGTGTAAGTTGAAGAAGTACTTGAGAACAATTAAAAGGGCACTAGTGGCGTATACGTGACATTGATTTTTGCGAGCAACGAAATTTGTTGAAAATTAAGAAAAAACATAAAATAGCATATTGGGTTATAGACAGCCATTAGTTGAGCACTGAGTGCAGGAAATAAAATTTGAAATGTCAATGTAACCGTTTTTGACTTACGCTGTTTTTATATACTAACCGTTTGGTTGGTGGTGTATATTCATTAATGTTTTTGCTTTGTGGAGGTCACAAAATTTTATTTCTCCGGGAAATTCTTTGTTTAATGCAGTTTTTTGTTTGTTGGTTATAAATGAACAATACAAAGCGAAAGTTGGAGATTGTGAATGCTGTTAGATTGCCTCGAATTGATTAGAAAAAGTCAGGTTGCTTAAGTTAGAAGCAAAGATATCTTCGAAAGGTATGAAAGCGGTTCAAAATGGTAATTAGTTATGCTATGACGTCAACTAATACCAGAATTAAAACCAAAGAAATAAAATAAAGCAAAAGAAAAATGTTTACTTCAGTTGCACCGAAGCAAGAAAAGCCTTCACAAATACAGAAGGTTCCTTACAAGAATTTGCTATATATGCTATAGTGACTCGATATGAAAAATTTCTTCGGTGAATGCATTAACACTTTAAGCAATAACCAATGCCAAATTTCGGAAAGAAACATTATCAAATTACAAAGTTTTCCGAACAAGGATTTGAGTTTAGTCAGTTAGTTGGTATGGCGGCTATGTGCTTGTTGTCCAATATCGGCCGTTCTGGCAAAATAGTAGCTTTTTGGTGAGAACGTGTGCAAAATCAGATGCATATCTCAAAAAATGAGGAACTAGTTAGCGTATGTATTGACGAAAAGATGGAAAGGCAGACCGCCATATCATTTATATATATACTTTATAAGATATCCGACGTTGTTTTTTTCGGTGTTACAATTTTCGTGGTAAATTAATTTGTATACCCTGTTCAGGGTAAATTAAGTAACAGTTATAGTTGAGTCGAATATTAACTTTTAACATTAACATTTATAACTAAGAGTTCTTCTACCTTTGAGGCTACAATTAATTTGAATAAATTTAAGTATACACTTTAATAAGCTTAATTAAGGTTAGCCATATGGTAGGAGTAACTTTACTCTCATATGCATAACTTTGTAATCTTTATATAACCTACACAAAGTTTATTTTGTGGAAGTTTTTAATACAATTATTTAATTTTAAACACTTTGCTCGCGTGTCTGTATAATTCAAGTAATTTTAATGGCTCCGTGGAATAGCTGAGTGTTCAAACTAATTGCACATTTTGTGCAGGCTTCGTGTTGCTCACATAACTAATGGCATTGCGTGAGTGTGTACATTAGTGAATAATAAGTGTTATGACATGCAAGTGCTAGGAAGTGCATACATATTGTCCTTTAAAATGTAAAATAGCGTAACATCACTTTTCATTAGTTCACAGGAGAAGATAAAAACGTTATAAAAGAGAAACTAATCATATTGAAACAAAATTTGCATTTTGACTATAACTTGCATACATATTGTATAATAGCTGAAGTTTAAAATTTTATACTTTCTTGGTAATATGAAGTAGTGTATCGTAATCAATAAAAACGGAATTTCGGATTTTTGATGATACGTTGATTTGCATTTTAAGTGACGGTATAAACAAGTGACGTGTCATTTCGATACTTATAGACGGGCTGCAGTGATATGGAATACCTAATGTGTGTTTTTAATTTTTCTGAGGCAACTATATAGTGCGTTTCCAAGCTTATCATATATTATGGTAATAATTTAGCAAAATTTTGAAAATAAAGAAAATGAAGAACATAAAGAAATACTTGAATAGATGTTAAAATATATTCTAGATAATTGTGCAAATCTAATTAAAATAATATAGGCGGATATTTGCGATATCCAACCAATAAAACTTACGAACACCGAAAGTGTGACAACTTCATTTTTAAAAAATAAATTTTCGTGATTTCGACCTTGCATTTGTGAGTTGATTTAAATAAACTAAATTAGCGTCTAAACTATGTAATTGTGTTATATATGAATTTTTAGAATATGAAACAATATATCCTTGTTATATAAATAATAAAGATAAAACTCATTTCGACCTTGCAAATACTTTGCTAGTTGAGTCAATTAGGCTATAAAATTTTTAATAAATAATAGTCTTATAAAAGGCTTTTGGAAAATATATATAACATATTATAATTAA